TGGAAGATCAAAAGGCCAACATAATAGGACGCAACATACTACCTTAAAAAGGTGTCAAGTTGATACAGAAAAAACATAAGCAAAACGTGTTGAGCGTACGCGAACAAGAAGAATTGGATCCGGAAGTTAAACAATGGGTCAATGAAAATTTTCAACCACTTTCAAAATCACATGATGAAAACTCAATTCAACCAAGACTTCAAGCCAATACAACAGAAAGGACGACGTATCCCGGTACACCTACAGGAAAGAGTCGAAGGGGAATTAAACAAATTGATGGATCAGAACCACATTATCTTACTAGATAAAAGCTCAGATCGACAATTTATTAGCCCAATTGCCATCACAGTAAAAGAGGATCAAACAGCCAAACTCGCGTTAGATTCCAAGAAAATCAACAAATTCATTGACAAGAATAACTACCAAATGCCCAACATTGAAATGCTGTTGGACAATATTGCACAGGTGGTATAGTTAGACAAATCGAAACAAACACTATTCTCAACACTCGACCTTCACTGCGCATATTCGGGAATAATTTTCGATAAAACAACCAGAGAACAATGCAACTTTAGTCTTATTGGTGGTAACGCCACTGGGACCTATCAGTTTCAAACAGGATTTTATGGCCTCACAGATACGCCAGCTGAATTCCAAAAAGCGATTGATCTAACCCTTACTACAAAAAGTACGAACACCTATGCCTACTTGGACGTTATTCTAATCGTCACAAAAGGATCGTTGGATGTACACAAACAAAAGTTGCAATCAGTTTTTAAAAAACTGGACGAGGGAAATCTGGCAATATCATTGGATAAATGTAAGTTTGCATGCAAACAGATTGAGTGGTTAGGATTTACAGTTAATAGCGAGGGAACAAAACCACTTATAAGAAAGAATGAATCCATCGAAAAACTATCACCACCAAAAACTTTTAAGCAATTAAAAATTTTTATTGGTTCCAACATCATCTCACACGATATCTAACGAAATTGGCACAAACCGCTGCCGCCCTACGTCCATTACTAAAAACAGAAAAGAACAAACCACTTGACTGGTCCACAGAGTATATCACAACATTCAAAAACATATTAAAACTGGTACCTGAAATAACATAAAACAAACATTTTGATCAACATCTTGACACCCGCATCGCATGCGATGCTTCAACTACAAGATTAGGAGCTGCACAAGAACAACGTTCGCCAGAAGGTTGGGTTGCTGTAGCTTACGCGTCACGTTTTCTGAACTCATTAGAGGAAAAATTTTCTGTAAATGAACTCGAACTATTAGGAGTCGCGTGGGCAATCGAACAATTTAAATACTTTCTATATGGAAAAAATTTTAACGCCATCACTGACCACCAAGCTTTAATCAGCGCTTTAAACGCAAGCGAATGATCAAAAGCAAGTCAAAGCCAGCTCACACGTTGGATTGACCGATTAAT